GATATGTTATAGAAAACACATGTGAAGTTCCTACCAAAGAAACAGAGACTGTCATAAATACTACACAGATTTCCAAAACACACAAAAAGCGAAAAGTGCCTCCTCTTGATACATTTGCACAAAAGAAAAAAGCTTGCAATGAGCGCCTTGAAGATGTCATTAAAACATCATCTCAAGCTGTTACTGATTTAGTAGTAGCATACAAAAGTAAAAATGTCGAGGAGAAAGAAAATAATTATGATCCAAATGCAGATGTAATTGCACAAGCTTTAAAGTCAGTAGCGCCCGAAAATCACTTATCTTGCTTGATAGCTGTGTTACAAATGATTCAATCGTTCAACAAATGTGATTAAAATATCCAATGTCTCTTTAATGACATAGTGTAACTTTTCTTTACGAAGAGAGAGTACAGTTTTTTCTAGACATCCCTTTGGGCAATATTGTTTTTTTAGAATAATGTGAGCATAACGTTCTTGCTGCATTATTGCTGCCTATTCGGCCAAAATGTTCGACCAAATTGTTCGACGTAGTCAGAGCCATATCCCCGCCATGTTTATCGTATCACTATCCTAATCTTTTGAATCATTTTTGTTGCCGAGTTAAGTTCCGGAATAATATATCATTTCTTTTAGTCTCACAGTTCTCTCTCTTCATAAAATTGTAGAAACATACATTTGTAGTCAACAACAAATATTTCACTATTAACTGGATACACTTACCGTAATAAATATACCAAAAGAATTTCTAGTTATATCTTTGGAATACGAAATAATATATAGTTAAATATCACTTTAAATAAGCTTTTAAGTTTTTCTTTGACTAAAGACATTAAATCTAATCATAAGAAACGTTTTTCACAAAAAATGAAGTGCCAATTACAATTTGTAGGTACCTGTTTATTTCTTAGATGAAGGAAGTTTTAAAGATTTCGTAACATACTCTATAACTTTAAGAAGTTATGTTATTAATTTTTTAAGATTGTTTTGTGTTATTGATCGTAATAAGAATTTATAATCTATTACTTTATTGTCATGTTACAGTATGTTTCTTTTCACGAAATACTATTTATACAAGTATGTATAAATGTCTATATAAAGTAAATGTATAATAATATCCAGTTGTACGTCCAATATTTTTTAAATGACATATAGCATAATATTATAACCTTTTTTTATATGAAGAGAGGGTATAGTTCGTATAATTTTAAGAAAGATGTTAATTTAGTAAAAGTGAGATGTGATATTGCAAGTTTTTATAAATATATATAGAATTATATATGAAATAAATTTTTAAATATTTTTATATGTGAAAAACATCTCTGCAATTGTAAGAAGTTATGTAAAAGAGCAATGCAATAAAATATATATATGATAATGAAAAAGAATCTTGTCTTTATTACAAACAAGTGCATAAAACAAATGTATTTAGTATAGATATTTATTATTCGCGTATACATGTAACTTGATAATGACAATTCAATTGATGCTCGGCAACATCAAACGTTATTACATCATAAATTTTACGACCTTACGTTACTTTGTGATCTTACATTACTATGTCATTATTTCATATTCTTTCCAAGATGGAATAAATACGATAGGCAATTAACGTAATTAAACTTTTATATAATGAAAGACATCAGCGATTCTTGCAAGTTTTAAAGAGAAATTTAATTCTTTCTTTAAATTCAGCAAGAAGAAAAATAAATTATTTCAGCGGTCGCATGCATAAATGTAATATGCGAATGCCACTCAATGTAAGCTAATATAAACACAATCACGCAACATGTGTTTCTCATGTGTTTCTATCACAACCACGAATTATTTGAAATTGCCAGGGTACTTGTCCTTCATCTGTAAGCATCCATTCGGCCAATGTTGTTCTTTGAGTGATAGCTGTTCTTGTAGCATTATTACTGCCAAATCGACTAATATTGTTCAAATTTAAACATGGAGCTGTATCTCGCCATGTTCCTTGTGTCACTATTCCATTTGATCCATTCTCGTTGTCTATATAAGTTGTGGGACAATACAATTTTCGGTAAAACTGCAGAATAGGGGACCCAGCTCCTACGACCTTGACATTCAAGGTCAAGGTCAAGGTCACCCTCCTGAGTGACCCTCAGAAGGTTTTAGCCGTCGCTCGTTGTTCGTTAAAAAGTTATTAACAAAAAATGTTTAACGATGGTTTTTAATATTTAAGTTGCAAGTGCGTTTAGCACGGCGCGCTGCGCGCGCCCCACCCCCGCCCCACCCCCTTCCCCTCTCCCACCCCACCACGCAACCCATGTTGTGTCGCTACAATTCGTCGGTATGACAGAAGCGTGGTAAGTTGCAATCGGACACAGATTCTATCGGACACAGGCTCCATCGGACACAGGCCCGATCGGACACTCTAGATGGGTTTTCAAGTGTTTATAACATGAAATTTAAGGCAAACTGTGACTCTAGATGGGTCGGCATATTT